CTCCCTGCCCAGCCTCCTGCACCACTCAGACACTGCTTCATTAACCACAGAGCCCTAAATACTACAACCACTAGCAGGTACTACCAGGAACACCCAGGGAAAGGAGAGGACTCTAGTAAGTGCAGAGGAAAGGATCACATAGTACAGAACAAGAAGCTTTCAAAATGAACACCTGCCACATAACACTTTCCAGGAGACAGAAGGGAAGAAAAAGGGCTTCTTCCAAACAACAACTGTTGCAGAGTTCCATTTTTGTTAAGAACAAGTGAGGAACGTTGTGCACAGAGCTATTCCTGAGGTGTTTTTCATGCATACATCCAAGGCTCACCCATCAGTGTACTTCAGCAGCTTTCTCAGGAGCCTAATCAGCTTTCAGAAGCATCTTGTGACCCACTGCCCTTCTGCACCAGAGAGAAAATCCAGGGCACTGCACAGGACCACATCCTCACGCTGGCCCTGAACAAACTGGCCAGCAATACTCACCTTCTAAGGAAAAAGGCTTCTTCTGGAGAAGCAGCTCTGAATGAAATCACCCCAAACACAACGCCTGTGTTGGTACCTATCAACCTCAGGGTCAGCAGTGCTTGGGAAAAGCAGCAGCCACTGCTGCTGTCCCCTTGCCCACATCATCTCCTGCACCAGCCCCTCTCGTTGTTTCTCAGGAACCTGCCAGCCACACACATGTGATTTCACCTCAGCTGCTGCAGGAAGAACAAAGTCTGTTTTGAAATTTAGCTCTGAGTATGTTCCTAAAGAATGCAATTAATGTGTTTATAAGAATGATCAGATCAGGGTATTCTGCAGCTCGAGCTGAGACCCCCTGGCAGAGGTGAAGATAACCTGGGTGGGAGGAAGGTTCAGCCACATCAGGAGGGTTTGGGAACAAGTTCAGAAGAGAATCACAGAACCATAGAATTGCTTAGGTTGGAGAAGACCTTTAGGATCATAGAGTCCAACTGTTGCCCCAACACTGCCAGGTCCCCAACAAGACCCTAACAGTGAGAGACGGCTATGAGCAGTGCAAGGAGCTTGCTTCACCACCCAACTTCCACTGCACTTGCAGGGAAATGCCTCCCAGCTGCTCCCCTGTACCAGATGAGGAGATAAAGTCCCTTGTTTTACAGCAGAAAACACACATTAGAGCACCAGGAAGACCTAAAGCTTCCCCCTCCAGTTTAGTCCTGCCTCTAAAGAAAGCTAGAACACAACCAAAAATATCTAAGAATGCCTCAAGTGCTTTGTAGAGCTGGTTTATAGGCATCCTAAAACCAGGGACCTCCTCACATCAGTCCCAGAAGACTAAAACAAGAAGTTTGGTTTCTGTTTCTTCCATCACTGGGCAAAGACACAAGCATGAGCACACGTACAGGATTTAAAAGGCCTGGAAGTCAACAGAGAGGAGCCTGGTGTGTTGCTGAACAGCAGAGAGTATTTGCAGCAAGGAAATTCTGTCCTGATGCATCCATCATGGAGCTTCCCCACGGCCAGGATTTGGAGCAGAAAGAGCAAACAGCCTTGGGATGGTGGGATGGAAAGATCCCTGTGCCCTGGCTGTCAGAGGCACAGTTGGCTGTGCCACACCTGGGAACCAAACCTCACAGCCACCAACACCATCCTGCTGGATGTGGCAAAGCCAAAGGAAAGGCAGCACTAGCCAGGATGAGTCCAACAGTGGGAGGCAAGTGCTAGCCCACCCTGTAGGAAATGAGCTTTCCCCTGAGATTACAAATTAAGAAGAAAAAAAAAGATCTTTGCAAAACCCATCAGAAAGCAGTTCTTTTTTACAGCAATTGTGAACCAGTCTGCTTCAAATGGGCTCATACAACAGCACTTAGCTTCTCTTTAAATCACCCCTTCTAAGGGGGGGGCTGTGACACCACTGTGAGTAATCCTTTAGCCAGCAGACAGTGTCAGCTGAGACACAGAGAGCACACTGCTGGAGAGAATGGCTCCAAGGTGGCAGATGACACCTTTTGTTTTGGTACACCTCAGCTTGGGCTTGGCCCAGACCACCTCCAGAGGTCCCTTCCCACCCCACCACGGTGGGGTCCTGTGCAAGGAGACTGCTATGCAAGATCTTCACAGTGAGGTGACTGCAACATTCCTAGAAATTAAAGTGAATTACTGTGGGCTCTGGATTTTTGTTGTGGTTTTTTTTTTGCTTGTTTGTTTTTAAACACAGATAAAACAGTTCTTGCTGGGAAGAAGTTGGTGACATGTTTGACCACAAAAGCAGCTGTTATGAGCTTCAAGAAGTCCTGAACTGCTTCACAGGAGTCACTGAAGTCAGCCTTGTAATTTTGGGTCAGGAGAGTGTCCAAATCTTTTCAAAATCTACATCATTAGAGCAAAGCAAGATGCTCAAAAGAAACAAGAGGTTTAGTCTCCAAGGACAAGATGGGCACAAGCAACAGCAAAAGACAAAAGCAAGAGCATGATTTTGGCATTTTCAACATCCAACTGCCTAACCCCCCTTCACCAGCACAAACACTAAGCAAAGCATTTTTCATATGATTTCTTGGAACTATTTTAGAGCCTTCTGAAGAAGTGACTCTAGCAGTGAGAAGTATAAAAGAATATTCAAGATTTCCCAGACTTTCACAAGAGCTCGTCCATCTGCTCGGGTAGGAAGCAGGAATCAAACTGCAAATCAGACAAAGGTTCAGGCAAGCTGAAGCCAAGTGAAACAACAGCAGCTTGCTAGAAGTTCAGAACAAGCCAAACCTTGAGACATTTCAGCTTTGAGGCAGAGGAATGCAGAACGTATCACCACCATCCCAAGGCTGGGGGCAGGGACAAAGAGCTGGTAGCAAAGGGATTTCCCTGACACAAAAGCAACTTGACAGACCAACAGGCAGGGAGCTGCACCACGGGCTGCTGCCAGAGCAGCACTTCGACTTCCCAGTGCCCCAGCTCTGGTTTCTGGTGTGTTTTTTAATGCAGGTGGTTCCCTGAGATGCTACAAGGCAGACATAGCACGGCCTGGGGTTTTCTGCCACCCACAGTCCCAGGGGAACCATCGGCATTCACTCCAGGGTGGGGGGGAAACCCCAAAAAACAACTCTCCTTGAGCAAAACCAACTGCTTCTGAATGAAACCATGAAAGAGCAGTCACTGAAACCTCAAGCATCTCCAGGGCTGTGTCAGTGAGCCATCGAGGAGGCCACAGTGCTGCTGAGACCAGACCAATCACCTCCCCCAGGCCGGATGTCCCAGGGCAGGGCCCTGGGCACACAGCAAAGAGTGAGTCAGTGGTGAAAGGCAAACACCAACCTGCAAGAGTCCCCTCCTTGCCCGTGAATTCCACAGACATATGACTAAGTTCCCTCTCAAAGGATAAATGTTTTCCTAACCAACAGCTTCTGCAGCAGGGCGCCACGCTGAATCACCTCCATCCACCAGCTCCTGCCTCTGACCCTTACCTGCTGCCAGGTCTCAGAGAGTGGAGAAAGCAGCAGAGGAGGCTTCAAAATGCAGTAGGGAAGGTGAGGAAAGGCAGCTGAGAGCTTTCAGAAAATTGCTAAACCACGTTTTTAATGTTGTCCTGGTTTTCAGACACAGTGTGAACACACAGCAGCTTTCCAGCAGGAGGGACCACGGCTCTGTCCACTTCTCCCCCAGCCTCCCCTGCCCTTCCTTCTGCCCTCTCCCTGCTTACATCCACCCAGCATTAACTCTTCCCATCCATCCACCCATCCCTCCCCTGCCCTCTGGCAACATTTCCCCCCCCTACACACCTTCTCCCACTGCAACCTGGTGCTCCCTAAAATCAGATCTGGAGAAATCCCACCTCCCAGGATGTCCTGCACACACTGGCTTGCTGATTGCATTCAAAACCTTGGTTACTAGGAGAGAAATCACCACTCCAGCACAGGCTGGGGACCAGGCAGAACAATTTTAGGGTGGGAAGTCACAGAAAATATTCAGGTTATGGCACAAAACATTCAGGTTCTCACAGAAGCCAAGTTCACACCTTGCAGCATATTCCTCCCTTACAGACTCTCCCCAAGCACCAGGCATCAGCTGCAAAACGTGACCACCTCTGGGCATGGGTGATGCCATTTACACAGACAATGCTCCCAGTTTAATATATATTAAAAAAATGTATTAAAGTGCATTCACTGCCACGTTGAGCAGCTGCAGCTCCCGAGCCTGTTCTTCAACAGTTGAGGGGAAAATTTCCCATGGCTGAAACTAAAGAGAAGGTCAGAAAACTGGGCAAGCTCCCAGTTTAACACCAATTTGAAGCTACCCAGGCAAAACCTCCCCATAGAGAGGGTCAGCCCCAGGCAAGTAACCCAGTAAGAACCAAGACCCACCGCTCACTGAATTCAGGGCAAGAGTATCAATTAGCAACCCTCCCATTAACGAACCAACACTGACAGCATGATGGAGACAAGCAGCGAGCGTGGCTCACGTGGCACAGTGCTGGGCAAGGCCCATGCAGGTGACAGCCCACCCAGAGGCTTCAAATCTGGCCGAGGAGGATGGATCAACCTGCTCCGTGGCCACCAGAGAGAGGACAAGGAGCCACCGGCTTCAAACGCAGCAAGGGAGATTAGCCAAAGCCTTCTAGCAGGAAGAATAATTAAGCAGAGGAATAGATTGCCTGAGGAGGGACAGGAACTGCCCCTCCTGATGGTTTTACAAGTGGTGGGAAACATCTGTCACGCTGACCCCACTTTAGGTAGGAGGTGGATTAAGGAGGCTGCTCAAAGACCTGGTCCCCAAACCTCCCACTGATCTCCTTCAAACTGCTCCTGCCCAGGAGCTGACAATAAGTTCCATTTAGAAAACAGCCCTCGGGGAAGGCTGCGACTTAGGGCCACTGAAGGGCAGTGGCTGGCAGGCAGGGGGTGGGCAAACCTCATCTGCCCCCAAATTGGGGCACACAGCTAGCCAAAAGGCACCAAGCTCGTTCACGAGCCCACGGATCCACCCCCTCTGGATTCAGTCCCTCCTGCCACGCAGGGTTTCACTCAGACAGACAAACGAGTTACCTTTTTAACATTTTCCTCCTCCTCTTGGCGTTTCTCATAGTGTGAGAAGTCATCGAAGATGGAGGTGGTGTGCTTGTAGGTGGCAATGATTTTCAACACCTGCTTAGCCTTCTCCAGAGGCACCTCCTGAGTGTCCCTGGAGTTGGTCACTGGTTTATTCTCGTTGTTCTCTAGACGGATGTGCCGGAGCTGGCTGTTGGGAACGTCCTTCACAAAAATCCACCTGACATCAAACCGTCCCTTCCACTTGTCCTGGGACCAGACCCCCGCACACGTGTTGTAGTCCACAGCAGATTTAAAAAAAACCCTACCGTTGACGCTGAAGAGCAAGTACACGGGGCCCTTGCCGCTGAGGGAGCGATAGGCGGCGTCCAGTCTCTTGTTGCCGTGCTCCGTGCTGCACCAGATGTTGTATTTAATGGACCGGTGGATATCGTCCTCCGAGTAACTCTTAATGATGAAAACCCGGCCGTGTTTCGGGTTCCAGTCAAAATCCTTGGGGTTGTAGTTGTTGATGGATCTCAACTT